TTGAACCACCAGCCTTCTGGTTAGCAGTCAAGTGCCTTAGGCACTATGCTATCAGAGTTCCTTGGGCACTTTTTAATACAAGGCTGAATAGTTGTCTTCCTGGCTCTTATTAAGAGTAGCCAGGTATTGGAGGGCTAGGGCCCTAGACACTCATAACCTTCCAATCCTTTCAAATAATATCATACCTACATCCAAACTACTATTTTCTAACAAAGTCACATCATCTTAAAAATACCTGAAGGTCTACAGCTTTCATCTGATTTAGAGGATGCTCTAATGAGACCATTTTATTTAAAAATGCATTTTCTTCCAGAAAAAAAATAGATTCCACCAGAGTATTGTTCCCAGCAGGAGTGTTTTTTAGAATTTTTAATAATCAGTGTGGCATTGGCACCAATCAATCAGAACAGATGGTGTAACCCATCAGAATGTTTATCAACTGTAAAAAACAGGAAGAGTCATATCAATATGTATAGGCTGAGTGTTAGTCCTGATGCCAGAGAACCTTACCAGTGTACTCTCCCATAGTGCCTCGCTCAAGGTATAGTTGCTGAGTAGATAAATGACTGACTGTGGGGAAAGTCTTCACCTTCTTTGCCTTCAGCATCTCAAACTGGAATCCACTAGTGCGGTTCCCTTGAGTAAATGGCAGCAAAGCTCTATTAGGAATGAAATAATTCCCAGAGAGAGTATTGAGCTGGGCTCTCTGGGCTGTATGCCTCTCCTCCTCCCATTCCCCACCCCCCCCAGAAAAAGCTTCATCTTGTCAAAAGATAATGGTCCCTCATTTGAGGTTGTTAGCCGCCTGGTGACCTATAAATGATAGCTAAAAGCTGGAACTAATCACAGTCCAGTCAGATTGTTGCTTCACTGTGAATTAAATAGCACTTAATCCTAACTGATTCTAGCAAGTGCCACCATTAGCATTGGAGCTTCTATTAGGAAAATAAATCTTCATCAATGCCATGGGTGTGACAGAGAATTGAAAATCCTGACAGGCTAACACTTGATTTTGTTTTGCTCTTCCTTTCTCATTTTAAGGCTGGGGGAAGGAGATATATATATATATATGTCACAATTAGACCTGCATGTTGGTTGCTTTAAAGAGCTATTTAAAAGATGGACAGCTTTCTGCAGACCATGTAGGAGAGGGAGCAGAGGGGAGCTGAGGAGTCTGGTTTTCCAGGTGCCGGCCGAGTGGCAGCTCCCTGCCCCTCTGAATTCACCTCGTCAGAGAATTGTTTGTCCAAGGACTGGAGCTACTTGTTTCACCATTGAGCAGATGTTATTACAAACACAACTAGAAGGGAAGGGCACTTTTGAGAGACTGTCTGTTCAGCTCAGGGAGACAGAGAGAGCTAGCACAGATTACAACTTGACTGCCAGATGGGGAACCAACACTGGCAGTGATTTTAAAGTTTAAAACTCCTCTACAGTTTAAATAGCTCATGCTAAGTGTATTTCTTCATGAGCGCAATACATTCAGTACCTAGAACATATGTATCTAGCCTCTGAAGGCAGATGGGAATTCCATTCAGAAGAAAGCTTTTCTCAAAGTCAGCTTGAGGTAGCATTCGTTCATAATGGAGTTAGTGTTGTAAACAGATTAAACACCCACCATTTTGGAAGTTGCGTTCTGTGTTTGTTCAGTGTTGAATAGCAACCCCCTGATCTTTCTTAGGTTTAATTTAATGCGGCTCCTAAGAAGATCAAAGGAAGACTACTTTTCCCTTGGATATACATCCATGAAATGAAATGCCAGAGTTCATGAAGTTCAAGAAAAACTCAGGAGGAACATGTAACAAGGACTAACTGCAAAGCCTAACGAGTAGCAGAGCATAATGAAAAACACAGGCCCACTGTATGTACATACAGCCCAGCTCATAACTTTCAGAGGGCACGTTTATAGGACATGCAGGCTTCAGGTTTTAAAATAAACTTAAGGGAAAAAAAAAAAATCATAATTTTCTGTAT